AAGTCCAAAGCTTATAAGTTGTTCAAAATTCAGGGAAATCCTCCTGACCACCAGCACAGAAAATGAATTAATATCAAGCAAAATGCAAAAGTTTGATCAGAAAAAGGAAAAAAAAATCAAACTGTAAAGGAAGGCAAGTTAATATTTTTGATTTTCCCATCTCCACACCTTTACTCTGTGGCTGCCAAATTTACCTACGAGGTAAAAGAAACTCTCCCAGCTGTGTCAGGAGATTTTTTGGGGGAAAAAAGGGGCCAAGAAGGTTTTTTCAATTTAAAACCCTCATCCAGTGGCTGATTTTTGCCTTCCTGAGGTGCAACACCACCACCAAAATCATCCAAAACCAAAGTAAAAATTGCAAAGATTGGCTCTGTCAGATTTGGGATGACACCCAGCAATTAGAGCTGCCTCGAATTAATCCAATTAACTCCAAGAATTAATGAACAAAGAGGGGGGAAAAGACAGTATTTTAACATCATACCTATAAGTAACAAGGCCCCAGTTCTCCATGGCACCTTTATAAAATAAATACAAAGGTTTATTGATATTGATCCACGCCTCTTCCTAAAGGTTTTTTTAAATAAAAAAATTCAAATAAAATACAATTTCAGCAATAAAGCGAGTTACTTTACCAGCAGCAAAGTCTGCAATAGCTATGAGATCAATTTTAGGAAGAGGGTAAGGAACATTGAAGTAGTCCTTATAAAAAGGCAGAGTTTTAGCAGCAACCTGTAAAAAACGAGAGGAGAAATATTCTGTTAGCCTGGCACTGGGAAACACTTGGGAAATAGTCACTGAAATGAAGAAATTATGACTGGAACTAGAAAATTACGAGTGAAACTAAGAAATTGTGACTGCAATTAAGAAATTAGGATTGAAACTAAGGAATTATGACTGAAACTAAGAAATCGTGGCTGAAGTTAGGGAATTTATGACTGAAAATAGGAAATTACAATTGAAATAATAAATTTATGACTGAAACGAAGGAATTATGACTGGAACTAGAAAATTATGAGTGAAACTAAGAAATTGTTACTACAATTAAGAAACTAGGATTGAAACTAAGGAATTATGACTGAAATAAA